ATTACAAAGACTCAGACACAACTAAAAATGACTGAACGACAAAAGTTCTACAGGGCTTCAACTAGTTTAAACTTTCTATAAAAAAACCTCAGTAATTTTCTTTGAAGCTGATTTATAACCACTACCATTGGGTTTCCGTAGGGCCAGTCAATACTAACCAAGCTGCTGCTTGCTGACCGAGGTGGTTCCTGTAGGATGATGCCCAAACGCCCCTTTTGAATTGTCACTGTATCCAAACAGGAGTTTTTAACCCGAAGAAAGTAGACTTACATTTTCCTTAGGCAGGTGTTTATGGGTCAGGGTAAGAATGTGTGGCAAAGATGTTTGGGTGGGGTCATAGATATCTCCTCTTGGGCCAAATTTTAGCCTCTTTTAGCTATAGGAGGAGTAGCCTCCACTTGTCTGGTGCATCCTAGATGTGCCATGGTATTTAATGCCTCTGATGTGTGTTTCTTTTACAGTCGAGAGAAGCAGCGGAGGTGACACTTTGGAATCTGCTAGATTCTTTTCAGATGAAGAAGTTTAAGTCTGTTCTATGGTATGAAGCCACTGACTTTCATAGAGATTATTCGAGATTATGATCCCATTTTATGAAGAGTCCTATTTTTCCCTCATTCCCAAGCACCATATTCAGGGTCCTCTTTAGGAAACCCTAACGCAGTACTGTGGTAATTATCAGAGTTGGCGTCTGCACATTTGCGTGAAGGAAAATTGAGGTCTAGGTTTCAAATCAGAGAGAGAAAGATTATAGCATGGAGGAGTTATTTGAGGAATATCAGGCACAGGTTTTTTGTTTTCCTAAATTGTGTTTAATGAACAAAAATGGGTTTAACAATGAAAAAGCAACAAGAATAGATATGTCAGCTTATCAGTAAGTTACTCTATAAGCCCTTCTGAGTTGTGTTTTTATGCAGACACATACTTTTAATTGTATATAGCTGTGGGCAGTCAAAATTCTCCTGGTTCTCCTCTTTTCACTTTATACAATTTCTTTCCATTCACAAGTTTCATGAATAGCATTTCATGTAGATAAGACAAACATCCTGAGAAAAGCTACTCATCCTCTGTGTGAGGGTGTGGAACGGTTGGCACTGTCTGCTTAGGAGAGGGTGGTGGCTTCTCAGTGAATACACCTACAAGCAGTGGGATTTTTTTGGAACAGTGGGTAAGAGTGCTTGACTTGACATCAGGAAAAATAAGTTGGAATCCTCTCTTAAACACTTAGTGGCTGTGTGACTATGGTCAAGTCACAACTTTTCAGAGCCTTGGTTTTTTTCATCTGTGAAATAGGAATAAAAATACATATACCATCTACCTCACAGGGTTGTGGTTTTAAAAAAAAGCACTTTGTAAATCTTAAAGGGTTTTAGAAATGCATCTTGTCATTTTAGTCCCATTTCTGGGAGGCAGGGCAGCCTGGGTCCAACATACACTCAGTTTGGGTGAATCCCCCTTCTGCCTCAGTTTCTACAAGGTCTGTGAACCATGACTTCCTGAATAGTGTTTCATTACACATTGGGAGCTCAAAACGCTAAATACAGTCTAAGTAAGATTGGCCAGAGACCCAATCCAGACTGAAAATAGCCAGAATGTCTCATGAATTCTTTTTTTCTGGATGAAAAAGAAGCAAATGACAAGTGAAGAAGTTAATATCAGGAAGCCATGTTTCTTTAAAAAAGCAAAAAAAAATCCAAGCCCTAGGCCATAGTCCTGAGAAGAGTCCACACTCTGGCCAGACTTCCAAGGCCTACTGAGTGATGCACCTAAAGTCTGGTGCCATGAGAATGGATGTGTAGAGTGCTCCCATGTCATCAAAGATTAAAATTTCACAACATACTCTCAAAGTATGAAAATAAACTTTTATACGTTAGAAGGGGTTTTTCCTTGTAAGCGTTGAGATCAAGAGGATTTGGGAGTTGATTCTGTTACCCAAAACATTCCATACCCTAGAGTGCTCTGTTCCCTGGCCTTACCATTTACTCAACAAAGCATGTTACCTTGTATTATGGAACATTTATGGTTATACACCTGTTCATCTTTAGCCTGTAAGTAAGAAAGGGATAAGAGGGCATGCAAAGAGAAGAGAAGAGTCGAAGGAGTGAGACATAGGAAGGGGAGGATCTTGGCTAGTTGACTTTGAAGGCCCGCCTGAACTCTACAATCCTAGAGTTATTGTAATCTTTTCTGTTCTCATTGTCAGACTGGAACCACTAGTGAGCACAGCCTGAAAAGTCCACTCTAGCAAATAGGGAATTCTGTGACAAGGAACTGTCCCATGAGATAGTGAGATCATTCACCTCCTGAGATCTGCCAATGACTGAGATACGATACTCTCCATTTTTGTCCTTCTGGCCCCTTGGTTGACCCCTGTCTACTATGGTGGCCTCTCAGGCTGTTGTCTCAGAATCATAGTCTGTATTGGAAGGGAGATGAAAGGCCACCTCCTCCCTCTATAGCATTCCTATGGCCAGCCAGGATGCTGGCAGCTTTTGTTTACCACCTCCTGAGGCATCTAGTTCTACTTTGGGTAGTTCTGCTTGATAGGAAGTTTGTCCTTGTATCAGGCCTAATTGTGCCTTAGTTCAGTTGAACAAATGGGCCTCCTATGTGCAAGCACTTTGCTAAGCACTGGGGATGCAAGAGTCAGAATGACTCCCAAAAGGAGTTTACACTCTACTGGGGCAGTAACCGTGTGCACAAGAAAGCACAATATAAAGACCACTCGTGGCCTTCATCTAAATAAGAAAAAGTAGGAAACTCATAGGCCTCTTGGTGGGCTCCCCATCATTGATGGCATCTGAACAAAAGCCAGCAGGGAATTTTTGGGAGATTCCGTAGAAGGGCATGGATTAGAGGAGAAAGCCTTTCCCTTCCACTTGAGACTAATTCTGTGTTTAGTGACTTCGTGAGTAAACAAGTTAGGGAACAGATGGTTGGACAACATTTCATCAGGATAGGATTGCTTTGGTCAGAGCTGGCTGAAAAGGAATCTTAGCCCATGACAGTCTGACTGTTCTGATCCTTTGACTTTTGTCCACAGCTACAAGGTGGCTTTTCGTATCCATGCTGTGAACAATCAGGGAAGGTGAGTATCTCTTTTTGCCTTGGGGAGGGAAAAAGAGAGAAGAAGCTACTTTAAAATAGAGGAAAATGTGGTCAACAGCTGGCCAGTCCTGGTCCGCAGCCTTTCCATAGCTGAAGAGCAGCTTTTTGAAGGGACTTGGTCTTGTGCATCTCTTTCCTCAGGAGTTGCCTCAGCTGGTGTTTGGTTTCAAAAAGGGCAATGTTTAATTAACATATCCTTTCTACTGAGGGTTTCTTTCCCTCTAAAATTGGAAAAATGTTAATTTTCTCTACATGGTCTAGATTAAAATTCTGCCTACTTGCTGCTAGTGGCCAAGTTATTTAAGAGACACCCTGGGAGAAATCATACTTCCATGCTGAAGTGGCTGATTTGAGAGACCAGTGAGTGTGTTTTGAATTTCAGCATAAAATTAACCACTTTTGTGTTTCTTTTTCTTTTTTCCCCTTCTCCAGAATTGTACCTCTGGACAATGAAGACAGCTTATACTCTGTTAAAACGGTAAGCAGCACTTATAAAGAGTGGCCACCCTAGAGGGGTCTCCAGGCAGGCATCTGTAATTTCTTAATGGGGTCCTAGGATTTATTGTAGAAAAAACCCCATGCCAGACAGTGGGGTCACATTCCATGGATTATAGGGTCTTTAGACTTTCAGGGGATGCAGAAAAGTGATTTTAAAAGAGGGAAGGTGCCTTAGTTGGCCCTAAATGCATGATGTGTTCGTTACTTTGTTCAGGCAGCTAGACTTGGAGGCTACTTAGAGATTTAGGGCTGAAAACCTTATGGTGATTTATATATCCAGGAATTTTAGTCTCAGGGTCTTCTTAGAAATGTGATCTCTTTGCTAGTTTTTCTTTTGTGAGAATTATGATGAATCATCAGTAGTGGGATGCTCAGACACATTAAGATGGTTGTGCGAGGTGAGGCAAATTCATGAAATAGGAAAAATTGAGGCAGGCTCTCCTCTCCTGGAAGAATCATTGAGATTAAGTCCCCCTTCCAGATAATCAATATTCAGGGTTTCTCCTTATGAGGTTTGGGAGCCTGTGGCATGTTCTTAAAACTATCATACCTATGGCTAGGGATGGTTAACTCAGTGTTTCAGAACATGGTGCTTACTGGGCCAAAGTAAAGGGTTTGTGGGCTAAGTTAAATCGACTGTTTCATGACCGAAGAATGAACTCTAACTGTAGTTGACTGTTGTCCGAATCTGTGCCCTTGTATACAAAGAGAAACAAGTGAGTAAGTATAGATGATTCAGTGCAAAGCCATCCCTACCAATGGAAAAAAACAAGTCAAAGCACTGCACAGAATCTGAGTAGGAAGGTGTCTTGGAGGTCATTTCATTCAGTCTAAGTAGGAATGACCTCCTATAACATGTGCCCATCTGGCCTCTGCTGAGAAGTGATGGGGAGCCCATTATGAACACAGCTCATTTCACTTTGGGACAACTATAATTATTAAGAAGAATTTTCTTAAGTTGAGCCAAAATCTTCCTTTCTGCAACTTCTTCCTATGCTTTCTAGTTCTGTCCTCAGAGACTGAGAAGAACAAGTCTAATCCTGGTTCTTTGGCTATCTGAAGAGAGCTAGCGTGCCCATCCAAACTTTGTCTTCTCTAGGCTGAATATCTGGTCCCTTCAGTGGATTGGCAGATGGCACATCTGTAGTGTGTGTGTGTGTGTTTTTTTAAAAGGCCACATGCTTATATAAGCTAAAGGGTCTAAGAAAGTGCAGCTAATGCTTACAGGTTTGATATCAGTAATATATCCTATATTGTTATTGAGTCCTATATTGTTGATGTTTTCTGGTCCTTTGAAACCACCTCAATCTTATTTTCTTTGTTCTCATAATTGAAAGACTGGGTCATCCTAGATTATGGCCTGCTCTCAGAGGTTTAAATAACCCAATCCCCAGACCCCTCAGTCAGTTTGCCTACTTAGTAGTAGCAAATAAAAAAAGAAGATGGAAAAAAGGGAGTGTTGTTCTGTTTGCCACCTTCCCTTTTTCTCATTTCAAGCCATGCTTTCTGGCCCAGCTCAAGGAATACCACCTCCTCCAGGAAGCCTTCCCTGACTACTTTAGCCCTCGCTGATCTCTTTTGATTGAGCTTCCTAGATAGCTTAATAAGAGTTCATCTGAAAAAGATGTGGGGATTATAGAGGACTACAAACTGAACAGAAACAATCAGTCTGACAAGCAATTAAGGAGGTGATAGTCACATTATCCCCTATCTTGTTCAGACCTCATCTAGAATATTGTGTTCAGTTCTGGTTGTCACAGTTTAGGGAAGACATTGGCAAGGAGAAGGACCAGGATAGTGAATGGCTCCAAGCTTATGGGACGTGAGTGTGTGGAGGGGAGGAAGTTGCAGAGAGACAGATTTATAACGAGACGTCAGGAAAGACTTCTTAACGGCCAGAGTTCTCCAAGGGGAATGGATTGCTTGGGGACGTTGTGGGTTCGCCCTCACCAGAGGTCTTGAAGATTGGATGATCACAGGTTAGGAATGTTGAAGAGAAAATTGATGGTCATGTGTGAGTTGGATTAGATAGCCTTTGCAGTCCCTTTGAACTCTGAGGTTCTGTGGGTTGGGCCTACTCATGTGGAATACAGGAGGGTGGCAGTTTTTATTGCTATCAACAGTATCCTTGTGGAACATACAACCCATTGGTTATGTGGGCTTTGTCAAATAACTTTCAGTTCTTTAAAACAAATTGCAGGGGGAAGCTCGGTGGCGCGATGAATAGAGCGCTAGCCCTGGAGTCAGGAGGACCTGAGTTCAAATATGGCCTCAGACACTTGACACTTACTAGCTGTGTGACCCTGGGCAAGTCACATAACCCCGTTGCTTAGCCAAAAAAACCCAAAAAAACAACAACTGAAGTGCAGATAAACCTCATCGCCTTGAAGCTTTCAGTCCTTAACCAAAGATTTAATCAGAATATATACATCTGCTTATCAAGCTGTTGTACATTGCAGTAAGAAGCTAAAGAAAGAATTGACCATTGTTTCTTGCTTTCAGCCAGTCTACACTCTGTTGAAGAAAAGCATAGCCTAAAAGAAATGAGTGGTTCCTTTGGCCATCACTCCCCTTCCTTCTTCAGACTGGAAGGCCCCTTGGAGGACAGTCAGGGATTTTACGATCCATACTTAACTGTAACCTCCATTAGCTTCATGACTAACCAGACTGGAAATTGCCATTCCTTGTGAGGTGTTTTGTTTTTGTTTTTTTTTGAAGCCCATTTCTGGGTTGGTTTTCTTTTGAGAGGAAGGGTGTGGTAGTTGAGGGAGAGGTACTGGCCAATTATGTCATTCCTCATTATCAGATTTCCATGTCCACACAGGGCTCAGTCACAAGTTATTTTGCCTTTCTTCTCCTGCCAGATTTCTCCACCACATTGTTCTATTCATCTCCTTTGGTTTTCAGCTAATAAATTAGCTCTTTCTTTCTAGACGTTGGGGAACTGATTGTCTCTGGGTTGCCCTGATTTTATTTTAAGCCTCCCAAGGCTTTCTAGCTTAACCTGAGCAAATATTTTCTGAGCATATTATGTGTCAAGCACTATTGCTGGATGAGAAGGGAGATGCAAAATCTGGGTAAACTGCTTACCGTTGTCTTTCTGTCACAGTCTAACCATAACACATATGCAAATTATTGTCTTACAAAACACCATACACTTATAGGCCATACACTTACATACATTCATATAGGCTGAGTTCTCTACCAAATTTGAGGAGGGCAGAGGGATCATTATTGCCCGAGAAGATCAGGGAAAAGATTTCATTGAGGTGACATGCAAACTAGGCTTTAAAGGATGGGTAGGATTCTTAAAAATGGAGATTAAAAAAAGAGGATTTCCCAGGTATAGGAGTCAGTATGAGCAGTTTGGCAGGAACATGGTACACATGAATGGGAGCTAAGACTGAAAAAGTTATGTGGCACCAAACTGTGAAGGTCTCTGAATGCCAGTTTGGTCTTTGTTTAGTTGTCACGGAGTCATTGAAGGGTCTTGAGCAGAATAGGGACATACCTGCCTGGATCTACATATGAAGAAGATAAATCCAGAAGCTCCATGAAGGGTGAATTACAGGTGACTAAGACTAGAAATATAGGCAGACCTGCTGGAAAGCTATTGCAGAAGTCCAGGTGTGTGGTAATGAATGTCTTGGCTAGGAGGGTTTAAAAAGAAAGGGAGCAGATGCAAAAGACATTGCAGAGGTGGAATTAATAGAATCTCATAGCTGATTTGATATGAGAAAGGAAGGAAAAGGATGAGTCAAAGACAACCCCAACATTGATATCATGGGACACTATGAGAGTGGTGGTGCCATAGACAGACATACTGAGATGAGGAGGGGGAGCAGGTTGGAGTGGGTGCAGGTTGGAGTGGGTAGGGATAATATAATGACCTGAGCGTTTGCCACACATTTGAAAATAAGATCTCTGAGGTTGGAGTGTATAGGCGAGCATAGGGATAGTATATGGATAGACAGTTGGGAAATTACCATATTAATTGCCATGTTAAAAAATGTTTATGAGATTTTTTTCTTTCCTACTTTTGATATTTATTTTCTTTTTTTTAATTTATTTTTAGTTTTCAACAATCACTTCCATAAGCTTTTAAAAATTTTCTATAAATGTCTTTTTTATATACTTTTAATTTTTAATTTTTTGTTTTTTTATTTTATCATTAATTTATTTTTAGTTTTCAACAATCACTTCCATAAGCTTTTGAGTTTTAATTTTTTTCTCCCCCTCCCTCCTCCCTTCCCTCTTCAAGATGGTGTGCAATCTGATACAGGCTCTACATACACATTCCTATTAAACCTATTTTCACATAAGTCATGTTGTAAAGTATAACTAGAGCCAATAGGAGGAACCAAAGAAAGAAGAAACAAAACAAAACAGAAGAAAAAGAAAAAGAGCAAATAGTATGCTTCCATCTGAATTCAAACTCCATAGCTCTTTCTCTGGATGTGGATAGCATCTTCCATCATGAGACTTTTGGAAATGTCTTAGATCCTTGCATTGCTGAGAATAGCTAAGTCTATCAAAGTTAGTCATCACGCAACCTGGCTGTTACTGTGTACAATGTCCTCCTGGTTCTGCTCACTTCACTCAGCATCTGTCCATACAAGTGTTTCCAGGTTTTTCTGAAGTCCGCCTGCTCATCATTTCTTATAGAACAGTAGTATTCCATTACATTCATATACCACAACTTGTTCAGCCATTCCCCAATTGATGGGCATCCCCTCAATTGATATTTATTTTCATTCAAATAAAGATTTGAAAAACACTGTTCTTAAAAGTCAAGAGGCCTGAATTTGAGTCCAGTTCTCCATAATTTTGTAACTGTGTGATCATAGGTAATTCACTTAACTAACCCCTCTGGCCTCAGTTTCCTTCTCTTTAAAATGGGGTTAATATTTGCACTACTTATCTCACAGGGTTAGTCTCTTCTTAAAGACTTTTGATTATTTCTTCAACAGTGTTGGATTTATCATTCATTGCAGGCCTCCATGAGTGTATATGACATTCCCGAGTTGACGGGAGGAAAAGAGTGCTTGGGGTCTATAGTCTTCTCAGAATCATTTTTGACATCTCAGATCCTTGTTAAAGAAAAGGGTAAGTGTTTCATAAAAGTCTGTTGAAAAGTATTGCTAGAACTGCAAGTACACAGTGTGAGGTAGACATTTCCAGACTTGTTTTATCTAACTTTACTCTGTAAGAAGGCTTGTTTTATCTAACTTTACTCTGTAATGAGGAAAGGGATGTTGATGGAACTTGACATCAATATTGGCAAAGGATTAATAAAATCTTCTTTGAAAAAGAAGGACTAACTCCCAGTCTTGTTCATTAATCCATTTGCTTCCTTTTGTGGTAAAAAAAAAAACAAAAAACCAGTCTGATCACATGGCAGGAAACCCCCCAGATTGGAGGAACTTTATTTTTGAAGGACACCAAAGTCCATGTGCTCCTGAGAATGAGGAGGAGGAATGAGGTGATCTTTGTGATGTTGGGTAGCCCAGGGAGGATGGGGTAGGAGGTGAGGCTGGGGTATGTAGTATTGAGTGACTTGGATTTCTTTGGTCTCCCCACAGATGGCAGTGTTACCGAAGAAACCAGCTACATGATTCTGACTGCCCCCATCAGAAGATTTTGCTCTTGGCTGGTCAGTATTACTTAAATTAAGAATTATATAAATTGGAAATATGGTTTATGCTATATAGAGCATCAGAGGGACACCTCCTCTTTTTGGCAAGTGACAGATTGTCAAGTCCTCATTAGTTACTCTAGTGGTCATACTTTAGGAAACCACCTTCTTGGTGAATCGTTAAACTTGGTCATGCATTTTCTCAGTAGAGATTTTGTGGAAACTGATAGACTTATCCCTTCAATGGGAGGAGACTAGTAAAGTGTTTATTGCCTGTTTTCCCCCAAGCTAGGCTTATCAGAATATTTGTGGTGCATCTAAATGTTTAGTGAAAGCTAGAAGCAACTCAGTGAGCAGCAGCATCTGGTGGCTTGGCCTACTTGGGACCCTCCCAGTTGCTGTTTTACAACCTGCTCTAGAGTCATCTGCTGTGGGGTCCTTGGGATCACTGAGTCCTCATAGCTCATCTAGTACAATCTCTTTGTTTGACCTGTGAGTAAAGAATGGCTTGCCCACAGTTACACAGCTTGTAACTAAGTGTCTGAGGCAGGATTTGAACTCGGATCTTTGTGACTTTGTGTCTGGCACTCCAGCTGTGGTGCCATGTAGCATCTGCTGACAGAGGACAACAAAAGAAAGATATAGTCAAGGAGGGAAGCTCTCCTGGCTTGCTGAGTGTTCTAAACTAATGCCTAGAAGGCCTATTTATTTATATGAATTTACTGCAGCATTTCTTAGAGCTTCACACCTTCTCCAGACTCAGTAGCTGTGGTATGATAACAAGAACCTAGAATTTGAAGTCAGATGACCTTCTGCCTCTTGTGGATGGGACCTTCAGTCCATCCCTTACTTCTCACAGCCTTAGTTTCCTCAAGTGAGAGAGTTAGACTAAGTGATTCCCAAAGCCCCTCCTAGCTCGAGATGCTGGTATTTTATTTGAAAGTGTGATTTTTAAGAATGATATGTGTTTTTGAAATTGATTCAAGCATGGTGCCACACTTAAATCCTGTGTTTTGTGTTATTGTACAGGGCAGCTCAAAAATCTTAGTGAAGTTTTAAGTGATTAGAACTTAACATACCCTGTATCACCACTATTCAGGCCCTTATAATCTGAATTCCTAAATCTGATCTTATTCTTGTAATGAAAGAACTCTTATAGTGAATATATTCATATTTTATTATTTCTAATAAGGAAAAGAATTATAGAGGTTTTCAAAGTAATGAGGATCTTGAGAAGTCATTCTCTTGTCTTCAGGCAGTGTTCAGCCTCCAACCACATGCATGGTCCCTTTAAAGATCTTCAAGGAGAGTTCCTAATGTCCTGCAGAGCTCAGTTGCTAAATTGAACAACCTGTCTATCGAGATCACTAGTTCTGCTGGACGGGAGAGAGGTCAGGGTGGGAGCAGCTCAGCTTCTCCAAAGAATCCACTCCTGCAGACATCCACACTTTCCCATTTCTGTACATATGACCTCTACCATGCCTTTTTACCTCCCACCCCAACATAGAAAACATCTGCACAAAGTTCCCACAAGCCATATTTTCTACCCTTCTCTGTCTCTTTATCTCTCCATCTCCCTCTTCTCTGTCACTCCTTTTTCTCCAGGGATATGTTTACTATGTTGACATAGAAACACATGGGGCAGGGAGTAGGAGATTTTAGTGGCTTCAGGATTTCACAATTTTGTCTCCTTGTTTCATCCTGTGATTTTAGCCAAGACTGTAGGGATAGGATTTAGTGGGGAGGGGGGGTCCATCCCAGAACCAGTCCCAGATGTGTAAAATTGTAGGGTAAATGTCTATTGTTGGGTTCCCCCTTTGATATAAGTTCCCCTCTGTCTGATTGCAAATGCTGCACCGGCTATGAACAGGGCAGACTTCCCTGACCATGACAGATTCATGGCCTGACTCCCTTGGTGGGTGCACATGCAGATGGTGACAGACATGCATCATTTAGCTCATGACTAGAAGGCACTTGATGAGTTCTGCTTGACTTCCGATTTTTACTTCTCCCCAGCTTCTGGAATCAGGAGTGAATTTAGAATCTGAGAGCCATTCTGTGGCTACCTAACCTACCCTTCCCCCCTTTCAAACCATGGACACAAAGTTCTGACAACGCATGTTTGTGTGATGAAACAGAGTGGCTGCTCTGAAATGTCGGAGTAGGGAATCCTCTGTCTGGCTCTGACGAATGCGCAAATAGATGTCTCTCTGGGAAGAAGATTGCTTCCTGGGGCTTTTGATACACTGCTGATCCAAAGCCCCAGAGTTACATAAGGTCTAATGACAAGAAAGGCTCATGGCAAGTGAAGGAAGTATGAAGCCAGAAACAGAACATGGGGCTTAGATCAGGAGACAACTTGGTTTGAGCCTAGGCTGGAATGCTTCATTTTGCGGGGACCTTAGGCAAATCCCTTCCCCTCTCCAGCCCTGCATGAACAATCCAAGGCACTTCCCAAAGATCCAAGGGCTGCAGACTTTAAAAGGGCGAGGCATCGAGGGACAGTTAGAGATCAATAGGGGCAATGAGGGAGGGGTAGAGGGGCAAGTAAGGGGGAATCAAGGAGCAGGGAGTCGTTCTAGCTCTGACCGTGGTGGAGATGCTTCACCTCTGTGGTCCTAGGGTTGAAATTAGGAGTTCCATTTGATTACTAAGGTCCCAGAGAGCTCTAAATCCTTGATCCTTTGACCTCACTCATTTGAACCAGATGGAGGAAGATTTGGGCTGAAATTTAAAGAAAGCTTGAACTAGATGATATTTTTCAAGAAATACAGTTTTATTGATTATCAGCATAGCAGAGTTTGAATTTAAACCTTAAAATTAAATAAATCCCTTTCTCAGTTTTGGCCTCCTCTTCCTCTCCTTGGTGCTAACTAATTGCAATTTTTTTATGTTTTCTCCATGGCCCTAGTTTCTTGTGCTTACCTAAATGTTTTCTTCTTGAACCCCTCCGTGTTCTCCAGGTCCCTTTTAACTTGAGGGTACTAGAACTGTATTCTGCACTCATTTGAATTGTTTGTGTGTCCTTAAAGTCTGGAGATTTTTACCCTGGGAAATGTGAACTTGTTTTTTAAAAATATTTTTATAACTGTATTTCAGTAGAATTGGTTTCCTTTGTAATCTTATGTATTTTATTTTAGTCATTTAAGAACATTTTCTGACAAGGGGTCCTTAGTTTTCACCAGATTTGACAAAGAAAACCATGACACAAAAAGGTTAAGAGCCCTTGTCTTAGACTAAGATCACTAATTTATTGATTCTAAGGCCCAAAGTGAATTTATTTGCAGTCTGTCATGTTTCTGCAAAGATACACATTAAGAAAATTCTTCATGTGAGATCTGTTCCCGTGGGAGTTGGGCCAAAATTCTGGTGCCTTAGGTTCATGAAAATGTGGCTGCCCTGACCCTCAGGCAGTCAAACAGGTCATTCCAGAGTAATTTCTTTATCTAGTGTCATGGTCCCAACCTGGTAGGACCAACAAGTAGTACTATTCACAACAATTAGCATGTTTAAAGAATTATAGGTTTGAATGAGAAGAAGAAACTCTGAAATATATGTGTAAGGGTCTCCTTGACCCTCAAAAGATGTTTTGATTTTTTTAAGTGCTTCTCTTCTTGTTAAGACTACACATCCTCTTATAAAATTTCCCTTTTGAGCACCTCATTTGATTTAAAAGTTATAGTTTGAAGAACTGTTACCCCAGATTTCCAATTGTGGGTTCCAGGGAGCCCAGTGGAAGAGCTTTAGAATGTTCCAGGAAACACTGTTCTGATGCAGGGGCTCTTTGGATTCTTTTTTTCATGTCATAGCCCCTTTGGGAAGTCTGGGGAAAACTACAGACCCTTTCTCAGAAAATATTCTTAAATGCATAAAATAAAGTACATAGGATTGCAGAGGAAACTGGTTATACTGGCGGACAACTATCAAAATATTTGTAAACCAAGTTCTTGAAAGTCAGGTTAAGAAACTCTGTTCTCAAGGCAGGTGAACATCCTCACAGTTTTAGTTGTGAAATACTAAATATCAAAGTTGGCATTATTTTGGATACAGGTGGAAGATAATGAAGTGAAATTGTCTGAGAAAGCCCAGCTCACAGTAAAGGTAAGTAATGTTTATATTCTAAATAGTAATGCACTTAGGGCTCCAAGTGAGCTCTAGTCAAAGGAAAATTCCCATAATCAGTCCAAATGTATAAATGATTAAATCTGCAAGATTTCTAAATTATTCCCTTATGCAGCCAGAATGAGAGCTACTGGGAAGTGATTGCTTGTCTTCAGTTGCTGCTCAGATGCCCTTTTCCCCTTCCAGGGAGGTCCAGAAATAATCGTTAATGGTGGGAAAACAATGGAAATCCTTTCTGCTTTTTAAATTTTTGTTCTCACAGGGCACAGTGAAAACTGACCCAGGCAAGCAGTTAATGGGTCTGGGAGCTAAGCAGCGTCAGGGTTCTACAAGTCAACAAAAAACACATGGTTTTTACAACTAGGAAACCCTGCTGCCTTCTCCCTTCCTTTTTCATATATAAAAGGAGAAAAGGGAATACATTCATCTCCAGGCTTTTGGGTCTGGGGTGAGAGTATATTCATTATTTGGTATAAATTGCGTTTGATACCCTTTAGTAATGACATGTATTATCCTTTCAATATCAATCAGCCACTATGGGCAGTCTGACCTTATTTGAAGCTCAGGGCCCTGGCACCAAGTGCATTTGATGCTGAGTGTGCTGAGTGGGTGACCCCTGGAATCATTTTCTGTCTTGGCAGGAGTTGGAAACAGGCTTTGGGGGCTTGGGGGATTTGATTTCCTTTTCTTTTAATCCTCTGTCCCTTGCCCTAGTGTATGGAATGAATATTTTGCAGGGTTCATATTTTTCATTCAAAGCTCCAGAGCACCTCCTGCTCCCATCTAAATAATGCTTCTTTGCTCTATTACTTGGGCATATTTTAGTAGCTATTCCATTGGGAAATTTAGAGCCATTCAAGTCAGGTCCTCTAAGGACATCCCTGCTGGATGGCTGCCACATGCCCTCCCCATCCCTACCTTCTGTCTTTCTACCCTTGTCAGTTATGGCCTGCCCCCCCTCCTGATCTTCCCAGTTCTGTTCCTAAGGCCCTCAAAGACCATACTACACAGTTCCTCATGCTAAAGTGTAGCTTAGTACGTTGGCAGAATATTGGGGCCCCCCCAGCTTCCTTCCAAGCAAAGGATCTCTCTCCAGGTGTCCTTGAGCAAAATGCTAATTGACAGTTGGTAGTTCCTACAGGGATAAGCCTTCCTAGAAGATGGTGGCTCTTTAGTTAGAGCAGGCCTGCTTTGCTCTATCCTTCCACCCTGTAGTATCCTAGGTGGCTTCTGAGTACAAGTAAGGGTAGCATTGGGATGTTGTGCTGCTTGGCCCAGGAATGGAGGAAAGGTGACCTTGAGGCCACTTTACAACCTGCCAGAGGTGGGAGTCATCTGGGGAAATGTGAATTAGTGGAATTTTCAGCTGTAATTCTCCTGAGTGGTATTTCTTTTCTTTTTTAATTTTAGGAGGATGAGTCTTTCTTGGGTACTCTCCTGACAGGAGGAGATAAAGCATATATTTATTCCAGCAATGCACAGGCCTGGCCAGAGGAAGGTAAGCAGTGACTCTTCTAGTGGAGGAGCTTCTTTGATTGACTCTTGGAGCTCCGTTTCTTGCAGATGATATTTGCAGGTATGATGAAAACGATGACTAGTAACTTACCAATAGGTAGGGTTTTATCATTCCAAAAGCATTTTCAGAGACATTATAGGATTTGATTGTGTCAGCAACTCTCTGAGGCAGGCAGGGCTTATCAATCCCTCTTGTGTAAACAAGGAAGCTGTAGCTTTCAAAAGTAAGTGACTTTTCTAGGTTCAAACTGTAATAAATGATAGATCTGGATAGAACCAATGCCTTCTGTGGCTAGGGCCTGTCATCAGAAAGCTCTCTGTCAAAGTAGACGAAGTAGGGGAAAGAAGTTCTCTCACTTTAGTGGACTCTGCTTAGAGACCAACGCTGACCTCCTCTTCAGAATGTGAGCCCTACCGTGATCCAGTGACCTTTTCAACATTACTTTTTAATTCTATGTAAATTGCCCTTTCTTTCAAGGCCCAAAATGAGATGGCCTCCCTTGGAGAAAATCTAGTCTCTTCACCAAATCTCTCAGTTTTTCCTAAAAAAGTGGGGCCATTCTGGGCAGTTTCAGCAATTTCTTTTCTTCCTTTTGAAAGTATTCTGTCTGGCAACAAATGTCCTCCATTAAAGCTTTTTGACCTCTCTTAGCTGACCTGGTTCATCTTTTCTCTTCCCTGTAAAAGGAAAGTCAGAAAAGAGCTGCTCATTAAAGATGCCTGTTAAAAGTCTGACAATAATGGAGTTTGCTACCTTGTCTGTGAAAGAACTTGCTACCTTTTGGTCCTAGCATGGAGTTTATCCTACCTTAGAAGGCAGGATCCAAGCCAGGCTCCTGGGGTTTACCCAGGATACAGCCTTCGAATGTAATGACAGTTTATAAATAGTAGGTAATAGGCATAACACAGATGCTGTTGTGCAATTGCATGGCAGAGCCAATTATAATATTTAGGAAGGAGGTTTGCCAAGGGAAAGTGTGCGCCTCGTTAGCAAAGAGCCATGTTAGAAAAATAGCTGCTCCTGTGTCATTTTACATTCTCCAACAAGATTTGGTCCATTCTGCAGTCCCTGTGCAGGCCTGAGGGTAGATGACCAGGGCCGTCCAGGACCTTCTATTTTACATTTCTAAGAAGTTGGTTTTCTGTCTTGTTCAGATTTCCCAGGCCTCCCTGGTTCCCCATGTGTGGGTTGGGGCCACTGGCCATCTCAGGGAAGATTTGGAGGCCACCAGCCTCAGCACAGAGGGCAGCCAGAGCTCTGAGACAGATCAGTGTGCCATGAACATATTGTCATAGTACTAACTAGCCCTCCCTGAGGTACTGCCCTCATCACACGAGACAAGTGGATGCCCTAGTTGAGAAGAGAGGACCTCAACCGAAGCTTCCTCCACACTGCATAAGGGTTGTGGTGGGAGGCAAGCCTGCTGCCATCAGAGAAGAACACTCCCTCCCTGCCAGCAGATAGCTGAGCTTTAGAGGGTCAGGGGGGCCTGACCGTTAATGTCTCCTCACCATGTTGGGCTCCCCACCTGAGACAGACTGCTCCCCCTGCCCCCAAACCCCCAGGCCCTGCTTGTGCCCATGAGACATCAGAAGATGCCAAGCACCACAGTTCCCCATCACAGTCTGGTGGTGATTTACTTCTCTTGCCCTCTCACCTCACACCCATGAACTTTATATACTTCAATCATACTGAATTGTTCTTCAAACACATTGGGGTTGCAATGGATGGAGCACGGGCCTGGAGACAGGAGGACCCCACTTCCACTGTAGCCTTAAACACTTCCTAGCTGGGTGACCACTGAACCTCTGTCTGCCTCAGTTTCCTCATCTGTAGAATGAGGATAATAATAGAACCACCTTTCCAGGATTGTTGTGAGAATCGAACCAGATAACAATTGTAAAGCACTTAGCACAGTGCTCAGCACGTAGTAGGGGCTATGTAAATGTTAGTTGTTTTTACCATTACCCCTATGCATTTGCTCACGCTTTTCCTTATCTCTATCTTTTGAAATCTCTCCAACTCTCAAGGCTCAGCTTAAATGTCACCTCTTCTATGAAACTTTCCTTTATGGCTCCCAGCCAGCAGCGATCTTATTGTTCCTCTGAATTCTCAAAGCACTTAGTTTGTACCTCTCTAATTTATTATGTGATATTTAGTATTTTATTAATTTATGTACATATCATCTCCTCTACTAGGTTCTAAGCACCTTAGGGAAGGCACTGTGCAACTGTTTGATTTGATTGATTTTTTTATTAATGTTTTCTTGATGCCTTTTCTTTTTACCTCATAGTCATTTCTGAATAAATCCCTATCCCTAACCCAACCGAGAAACCTCAAGGAAAACAGCTCATTAAAACCAAATGCGTGTTTGTCTCTGTATTCTCATATCACCTTGCATGTAATAGGTGCTCAGTAAATTATTATTGAATTGAATTGAAATACTATACAGATTATGTTATGGATTTTAATGGAGCTGATAGTCTGTTCATTACTACATACAGCTTGAAAAGATGGTATGAATGATTTGGATAAGTCATTTAATCTCTCTGAGTATCAACTTCCTCATCTGTAAAATCAGACTAATGATATAGTTAATATATAGCATTTCTATATTGCTTTAAAGTTAGTAAAGCACTTTATTTGTTTAAAAAAAACAATGCAGCAACTATAGCTAGTGATATATGCAATATATTGTACCCATTGGGGACTGTCTTTTGTAGACCTCTCTCTTGCTGCACCTGACGTAGGTCCTTCTGCAGAGGTACTCAGGAAACAAGTTTGCTCTCATCTTTTGGCAGAGGGGGTATAACTCTGACCCTAATCAACAGGAAAATCCACTGTTTTGGCTAATTTGAGTCATTGGGAATTCAGCATTTCCACTCTACTCCTCTCTTTTTATAGCTGGAGAAACTGAGGCACATGGTGATGGAGTGACTTGCCAGGTGATAAGTCGCAGAAGGGGGATCTTGTCAGTATGGCGGCCTTGGTTACTCTGGGGAGCCTGTTTGCCCCCTCCCTCTTTCAGTCCTCCACTTTCATGCACTGATTCTTTTAGGCACAAGGGGAGAAAAGGGGACTTCCCTATGGAGGCAGAACATAGGCTGTGCTCATCAGCTCTCTGTACCCATATGTAATGCTCTAGCAGGAAGGTGACTAAGAAACTTTGAGAGGAACTTCTCCAGCTACACCATTACCCAGATTTCCCAAATGTTCTATTCCTTGTAGTGTAAGCTCCCTTGGGTGCACAGCACACTTTCCTATGGCCTCTTCCCATAAGTTGCGCTGATGAAGGCTCTCTATTAAATGAGGTTGTGTCGATAAAGCACTTTGTAAACCTAAAGCTCTATACAAATAGCATCTGTTGTTATCATTTGCATCTACTGAGTAATTGTAAGAGGGAGGAAAAACCAGCTTCTTTGTTGGCTCTTGGAGCCACACTGTTCTGGCAGTTCCTCTCCCTCCCTTCCATTGGTCTCCTACCAGGAAGCTAGTAGGAGAGAGAGGCCAGCTCCTTCCCCCTTTGACCCCTGGGTGTCCAACAGTAAGGAAAGGATCTTCCTTCCCAGTTCAGTTCAACAGGCGTTTATTTCTTATATGCCTACTATGAGCATAGGAGTGAGTATAAAAACAAAAATAAATGCCCTCAGTGAACAATGTTCTACTGAGGGACAGTACACATAGAAACATAATTCAGGGTAAATTGAGGAGGGAGACAGTCCTAAGAACTGGTAGAGAAGGAGTTAAGGAAGGCTTCAGTCTTTACCTAGAAGGAAGACAAGGATTGTGAAGGGCAAGATTGGAGATTCTCAGGACCAGGAATGACAGAAGAGCTCTGGACAAGCTCTACCCAAAAACAGGATTATTCCCTGACCCTGAGTCAGCAGCCTGGCTCTGGAAATGAGTTACCAAGCAGTCCCTGACCAAGAGTCCTGTGCAGGCTCTGCTTTGAGGAAATCACTGGTCTTGGCTATCTGGCTTACTGGTTCTTAGATGTGTGCTCATACATGTAGATTCTCAGATGTCCATCTGCCTCAGTCTCTGTTTATCTCCTGTTCAATTCTTACCTTGTAAGACGTGTGGGCTGTTCCTGGATATCTCATCATTTCTCATCCCAACTAGGTCATTAGGAAATATTTGTGCTGGATGCAGTATAGTGAGAGCCACATGGCCCTGGGCCCTGCTCTTGGGGAGCCTACAGACACTCACTAGAGTCTGCAAAAAGGAAATACTGACCGTGTAAGGGTTCATGTTTTCATTAAGCATGCACAAGGTCAGTGAGTCAGATATGGGGCTGAGATCCCATGTCCTGTCCTTAAAGCTTCAAGTCCTCTTACTCATCAATCCATTCCTGTGAATTTGAGTGCTGTAGAGCATGTACCCATCATTTGGGATTCCCCTTGTATTAAATGTACTTATCTACTTTTGTGTGCTTGGAATCACTTTTGCTGTGACAGAACCATGATCACCAAAAAGCCCCGCAGGTGTGCATTGAATGAAAGCATAGGTGTCATGCTTATCAAATTGTAGATGAGACAAAGACATGGGGGAGAGAGATGATAAGTCGAATGACCAAACTGGAATCCAAAAAGATATTCAATCTTGCTATTGTGGCCAAATCTAAATAGTTAGATGGTGGTTAGTAGGAATGGATTGTAAAAATGTGGAGTCCAACAATTAGATTCAAAAATTTACCCAGGTGTGGATGGGGGAAATGTGGCTACACAACAATTTATATAGGAGAAAAAAGACTGGGGATTTTGTTTGACTTCAAGCTCAAATATGTGTTAATTGGCATATTCTACTTCATATACATTATTTCATTTTGGATCATAGATTTTGAGCTAAAGGGGGTTTTAGAGATCATTTGATCCTCATCACAGACCCGTGAGTGATTTAGGTGTATGGATAGCGCCAGGTCTGTAGTGAGGAAGACTCAAATTCCTGAGTTCAAATCTGGCCTTAGACGCTAACTGGGTGACCCTGGGCAAGTCACTTAACTCTGCCTCCATTTCCTTATCTCTAAAATGATCTGGAGAAGGAAATGGCAAACCATTCCAACCTCTTTAGCAAGAAAACCCCAAATGGGGTCATTAAGAGTAGGACATAACTGAAATAATTGAACAACAATAACAACAAATCATGGGTCTCACTTTACAGATTGGGAAACTGATACTCAGAGAGGTTATATGACTTCTCTAAGATCACTAAGCTATTAGGAGGAAGGCAAGGGTTTGAACTCAGGTCTTGTGATTTAAAGAGAATGGTGTTTTCTACACTCCCCTGCAGCAGCCGCATTGTGATAGAAGGATAGTCCCTAGGATGAGGAAGGTACAAGTTAAGTTGTTTCTGCCTTGTCAGAGCACATTGAAAGAGTTGGATTCAGGTCTAAGTGCCACATTTTAGGAAACTGTTGACAAGCTGGAGCACCCTTGGAGGAAGGCAGCTGCCATGATGGGGAGGCTTGAAACCAACCAGGCCATGCAGAGATGAGTAGAAGGAACTTGGGATGTTTATCCTGGAGAAGCCAAAGCTTAAAGGGTACATATGTAATAAGAGTTTGTCGTATAAATGAAGATAACTGTTTTCTCATAGCTGAAAGATTGTCATGGAGAAGGAGAACTAGATTTGTAGTGATGGGGCCCAAAAGGCAGATTCAGGACCCCTGCACACAAAAGATGGGGAGAGAGATAATTTCACTCTGATATGTCAGTAGGTCAAGGAACTACAGTTTGTCTGTGAAAACTCCCTCCATCGACACAGATTACATTAAATTCTTAGAGAATTGCCTGACATACAGAGAGAGGTCAAGCAGTTTACTTTGTCCACGGTCGCACAGCTACTAAGGGTTAGAAGCAAAAGTTAAACTCTGGTCTTTGTGACTCTCTTTTCTTGACCACACTGTCTCTGACATTAAGTTCCAAGTGAGGGAGGATCCATTAATCACAGCAGTCCAAAAATAGACTACTTTAATTGGTAGGTAGTTCCCCATTTCTAAAGGTCATTTTGTCAGAATTTTGTAGAGGAGATGTCTGCTTCAGGTCTAGGTTGACCTCTTCCAGTCTGTCTTTTTGAACTCTGATACAAACGATTCCTCTTCAGACTACAATCTGAAGATCATAACAGCTAACATTTATATAGCACTTACTATGTTCCCTCATTTAATCCTCACAACAACTCCTGGGAGGTCGATGCTATTATTATCCCCCTTTTACAGTTGAGGAAACTGAGGCAGACAGCGGTTAAGTGACTTGGCTAGGGTCACATAGCTAGTAAGTATCTGAGACTGAATTTGAATTGAGGTCTTCCTGATTCCAGGCCCAGTGCTCTATACACTGTGGCACCTTGCTGCCTCATGTATCTAGCAAAACAACAAGGATCAAAATGTCTATTGCTTCTAGTAGATTTAGATGTCAGGGAGACTGGTTGTTCTCATTGATAAACTGAGTCTTCTTAGTAAGCATTCCACTTGTACAATAAAGATAATGGTATTTGCCACCAGAGCCTGGCTGAGGTTATTGCTCTTTCTTTGAGCTCAGTCCTGTGTGAAGGGTTCTCTTTGCCTTGGTCTCCCCTGGTTCTGTGATTAAAACAAAAGTATGGGGCTAAATTTGCCATTAGAGTCGAAACTCCTCCCTCTGAACTGTTGTGACTTCTGAGGAGATGCTGAAGGTAGGAAATAGGCAGCTGCTTATGGCCCTGTCTCCTGGGAAATGTGGAGGATTTCCAGGCAGGTCTGGACTGTAGTGGAGTGAAAAAAGCCGAGTCCAAGAACCCAAGTTCAAATCCCACCTTCGACACAACTTAGGTGATATGGACCAGCAACTTAACGTCCTGGCTTCAGTTTCCTCGCCTGTAAAATGAGGTGATTGGATTAGATTACCTCTAAATTCCCTTTCTGCTCTACGTCTATGGTTCTATTACCTTAATATTATCATGTGGTTCTGAGGTTTTCAGATTTGGAGATCCTAGAATTTATAATTTTCCTATCAGTCTGGCAGTGGAATATTGAGTAACTGCTAAAATGAGAAAGGATATAGGGAATACTTAAAAGGTATCTAGTAAAGTGGGTCCATTGTTTCTTTGACAGCTTCTTCAGGTTCAGCAAAATCTGCAAATGCTAGATCTCTTATTCCTTCATGTGGTCCTCCAAATGGTCCAGGAACTGGTTCCAGCTTAGTGTTTGGAGGAGTTTGAGGAAATTAGAAAGATTCATCCATCTACTTTAAAATTAAGGTATAAGCAAATAGATCTTGAGTGTAAGGAATAGTAGTAAGATGTCCTCATTGTTTTCAGGGATACCTCGGTGGGGGGTGGGTAAATACCTGAGCCCAAGATGCATTGAAGTTTTCATCAATCACTTGGTAGTTTTCAAAATTATTTTTATTATCATGAAATTTATAAACATTAACAAATGTGAACATTTCCATAAACAAAGAATAGAAGACGACTGTGTATATATGAAAATGTGAATCTCCATCACTTACAACTTGTTATTAAACCATCTAACATCTTCATGGTATTTCTTCCAAAGCTTGTTTTTCCTCATTGTCATATGTCATTTGGGCCTTGAAAGCCTTGCTGGCATGACCCTATGACCCTATGGATGATGGGGATCTTGAGTTTTCCTACTGGAGCTCTGCTTCTAACCCTTCTCCCAGTTCCTGAAAATGCCACTGCTGTTACTTGCTGGACCTTCTCTTCTGGCATTTCAGTAGCCCTCAAAATGCTACCTTTTCCAAGTTAGCCTAAATAAGAAGATAACCAGCAAATTCTAAACACACCATTCCCCTAATTATCACCTGTGTCCCATGCTGAAAAACTAACTCTAGATCCCCTGACCTCTGAGGAAACTTTGGATCTATCATTTCCCCAGTTCTGGCCAGGTTCAGACAGGCAAGCCCCAAGACTCATTCTCTTGGATCTCTGAGTATCTACAGAGCTAAGCTAATTTCTTTTCCCTCTCCTCCTTGTTCTCTCACTTGGCCCAGTCACCTGGGCTTGGGCTCACTTCATCCCTTCTGGAGCTAGGGCCCCAAGGAGACACACCCATTATCCATATCCATATGCACGAATCTAGTCATTGCCCAGCATTTCACAAAGAGATAACCACCAAGTCTAGACCAAAATTCTAGCCAAAGGAAACCCCTATAAGAAAGAACAATTTATCTTCCCCTTGCACTGTGGTATGAAAATATCTTCCCCATTTGCTGTTTCCTGATCAACATTATTCACCTCGGTTACATTGTCTGTCTCTTTGGTTTATGTTGCTGTGTCTCAGGCTGTAAGATCTGAGAAGACAGGAACCGTAGAAGTTCATGCATTTTATGTGGTGCATTGTAGCACCATATGCAAGTTGTTATTTTAAATACATGCTTGAAGCTAATGGGACTAAAGTGCTTCATTATCAAATGATATAATATTTGAAAAGTGCTTAGCATATAGTATGTAACTTAATAAATGCTTGTTCTTTCCATGTTGGGGTTGCCCTCCTGAGATGTCATGATATAGTAGAAAGAATTTTATATTTGTAGGCAGAAGACTTGAGTTTGAGTTCTGAGGACCTCTTTCATAACTATTTGACTTTGGTGAAGTCACAACCTCTCTGAGCCTTGGTTTCCTCATCTGTGAAATGTCCTGCCTTTCCCTCAGGGCTGTGGGGAAGTTCAGCTGAGCAAATGGATTTAAATTTCACAAACTCTAAAGCTGTAAGCAGATGTGTGAAGTATAATTCATGTTAAAGAGCATCCTCATCACTGGCCTGGGTCTGTGTCAGCAGCATTAAGTGGCCTGAGTTGTGGAGAAACCATCTCTAATGGGGTGTCTCTTTCTTTCAGGAAAATTTTACTTCTTTTCAGATGGCCTTTTGTTTTCCCACCATCATTATGGAAGTATCACCATCTCTAAGAATCACATGAATTCCATATGCTTCTATGATGGGGTAAGTGTTTCACTTTTACCAGATCTGCATTTTCTTTATTTTATTGCATCATTTGTTTTTATATCACCTACAGGATAAAATCAAGTAGTCTTTTAAAAATGGCATCCAAGCTATCAATGTTCATTTGAAAAAATGCTTCAAATTACCCATCAGAGAAATGCAAATTCACACAAATCTGAGCTTCCACCTCATACTCATCAGATTAGTAAAACTGACAAAAAAGAAAAATGACAATTGTAAGAGGGGTTGTGGAAAAACAGGTATTCTACTATGTTCTTGATGGAGCTATGAATTGGTCCAGCCATCCTGGAAAGGAATTTAGGGCTAGACTCAAAGAAGTTACCCAACTCTGCATGCACTTTGATCTCGTGATGCTACTCACTGGCAGGTCTGAACCCCCAAACATATTGAAGAAAGAGGAGAAGGACCCATATGTACAGAAATTTGGAAAGCAGTTCTCTCTGTGTTCCAAATTGATTCCAATTAAGGTGTGACTAAACAAATTATGGTATGTAACAGCTAGTATTATGTAATAGCTAGTATTTATATAGTGCTTGGAGGTTTTGTTTTATTTTGTTTTGAAATTTTTTTTGGCATTCGCTTTTATAAGATTTTGAGTTACAAATTTTTTCTCCCTCACTCCCCTACCTCCTCCCCAAGACAGGAAGTAATCTGATATAGCTTATATGTGTACAATCATATTAAACACATTTCCACATTAGTCATGTTGTGAAAGAAGAATCAGAACAAAAGGGGAAAAGCTTGGAGGTTTTTTTTCTTTTTCTTTTTTTTGGGCAATTGGGGTTAAGTGACTTGCCCAGGGTCACACAGCTAGTAAGTGTCAAGTGTTTGGTCTGAAGCCAGATTTGAACTCGGGTCCTTGTGACTTCAGGGCCAATGCTCTATCTACTGCACCACCTAGCTGCCCCTTGCTTGGAGGTTTTTTAACATGCTTTACAAATATTATTTCATTTGATCCTCACAACCCTGGAAAATATATGCTATTATTATTCCCTTTTTACATATGAGGAAATTGAGATAAACAGAGGTCAAATGATTTGTCCAGGGTCACACGGCTAGTAGGTGTCTGAGGTCACATTTGAACTCAGGTCTTCCTGGCATAATTCCAAGTCCAACACTCTATCTACTGCATCACCTAGATGCCCTGTATATAGCTGTATTCAAATATGGTACCTCAAGAAATAATGGGGGCAGCTAGGTGGTGCAGTGGATAGAGCTGTGGCCTTGGAGTCAGGAGGACCTGAGTTCAAATCCAGTCTCAGACACAGGACACTCACCAGCTGTGTGACTCTGGGCAAGTCACTTAACCCTGACTGCCTCACCAGAAAGCAAAATAATAATAATAATAATAATGATAATGAAAGGGACAGTTTCAGAGAAACCTGGGAAGACTTATATGAATTGATGCATGGTGAAGTGAGCAGAACCAAGAAACAATTTATACAGTAACAACAGTGTAAAGACAACAGTTTTGAAAGAATGCTGATTAATGCAATGATTGACCATTCTAAAGGATCATTGAAAAATACTCTTGACTTTCTGACAGAGAAAAAATGATGAACTCAGGGTGCGTAATGAGATGTAGGTTTGGTGGCATGGACTGTATGAACATTTGTTCTGCTTGGCTATGCAGATCTGATACAAGGGGTTTGCTTTTCTTTCTTCCAGTTTCTCCAGGAGATGTTGTGTGGTAAAAGAGTGTTTAGCAATGGATCTGTCAAAATGGGGGGGGGAGAAAGAGAAGAGAAGCTCATTGAGGCATTTTTAAAATTCATGGAAGAGAACAAAAACTAGAACAGCTTTAAAAATAATACATTGAATTTATTATGCTGAAAAAGAAAAGTAAAATGGTCATGATGTGGTTTTGTAGCTTCATGTATGATCCTTTTTTTCTCTTCTACTTTATGTCCAGAAATACTGTTTCTTATTTGGTTTTGGTTAAATTCAAAATTGAAAAAATTAAAGAAAAGGTGGCTCTCTGAAAGAGGACAGAGATGGATAAATGACATGTTTTGGAAGAGGATTTTTATAGGGAACAGTATAGAAACATTTCTCTTTGGAGAAGAATTGTAAAAATAGAGTTTTATAAACAAGTGGGAGGGACTTTAGACATGATAGAAAAAACAGTTATTAAATATTTAATACATGCAAAGCATGGTGCTAAATGCTAGGGATATAAATAGAAAAGGAGGACCAGTCTCTGCCCTCAAGGAGCTCACATTCTAACAGGGGAGACAACACACAGAGAAGAGGTTTTAACTATAAGTCAGATGGGAAGGTTCCATGGTTCTTAGGGGGAAGCAGCAAAGCAATTGGTAGTGTGTCTTCTTCAATGTTGTTTCCAGTGATAAAATCATACCTTCTTCTTATTTGAACTGTCTGATAGTTCTAATGGTTTTGGGTCTTCAGTAGCTGTGGTTGCTGAGGAAGCTTGGACTTTAGCAAGGTTGCATCTCCGTAAGGGTTGCCTCTCTAACTGACGGCTGTAGGTGCAGGTCTAGAACTAAGATCTGTATTCTGGAAGCCACTGCTGTTCCCAGGGCTCTTGGGCTTACCTGTCCTTGGGTGGCAACTAATCCAGTAATTGCTGGCAGTATTGTCAAAGAAGATAGACCCTTTCTCCTTAGGGATTGCCTCCTTCAGTGATGGTGTAGGGTACAGGATGGAAGTAGGGCTGTTGGTCTGATGGGTACTGCTTTATCCAGGGCTGTTGGATTTGGGGCCCTAGGATGTTTCCATTGGATCTGAGAGGAGGTGGTAGTCAAGATGGTGGTGGATGGTAGTGGTGATTTAACTCTCCTAGCACATGCCATTTCCTCTTTCTACCTCAAGGTGCCTTGCTTGCTTATGGGTGGCAAATACTATTTATATAATTATTTCTTCTCAGTGAATATAATATACTGGCTAGTAGGTTCTTTTGCTGGCTATGAGGCCTAGGCTAGAGCAAAGGGATGTGCAAAAGCATTCCCGCTCTCTGAGAACTCCCAGAAAAATGTTTAAAGTCTTTGATCATGAACCCTATAGGGGACCAAGGTTGATTTCCAGAAGCAGGTTATCACCCCCTCAGAATCTCCTATTGTAGATGGATTAGCTGGAGATAGAATACCAAGGGGGTCTATGCTGATGTGGAGGACAGCTCCAAAGGAGACACTTTGTCTTTGCCTCTGATCCAGTGTAAAGGTCATCTGGGAACCTTTTCTCAGCCTAACTAGACCGATCCCTAGGAGCCCAGGTTACTGGGTGGTATCTTACTTACTCAAGCCTCTGCTTTTCCCCTCCCTCTGCTGACCCACTGAAGGTTACTCTGTTGGCTAGTACTCAGACTCTAAGGAGTCTTGACCATGGTCACTTCCCTCCCTGTTGATGTCAGAGAGGGTAGTGGAGCACTTAGGTTCTCTGATCAGTCTCCATACATTAGTGATATTTGGTCAACTGAAACCAGAGTTTGACATGAGTTCATGGTATCTTAGGGAACCTATCAGTGTCATGCAGGACACCGTATCTGATTAGGACCAAATAAGCGAGCTTCCCATTGGCAGTATCGTGGGGGGGAGCTGTCCCCAGGGAGGCAGAGAAGATAACTATCCACTTACTCCTGGAGGAGCCTTACACTCAATGCACTTCTGTCACTGCAGTCTCAGCCACTTAATTTAATAAGCAAATGGTTAGGATGGTGCAAGCATTTCAACCATAATACAGAAAAAAAAACTAAGAGACCCTCCTTATCCTTGCTCCCTTTCTCGTTAATGCTACGTTGACTGAACCTTTGTAATTCAGTAGCTATTTTAATACTGACCTTCCTTTAATTGTTTCATTCAAGAGTCTCTCTTTTCATGCAACTGTGGCTTTTTTCAATATCCAGCTATCAGCCTTGACCCAGGGCCAGATATTGTTAAAAGCCTAAAGTCAAATTTTATTGTTTCTTAACTGTGTGGGGCAAGCACAGTGGAGGAAAAAGGGCCAGAGGTGAAGGAGAGTGACTCAGGCAAGGCTGTGGGCAGCCTCGACACGTGATGGCAACCACACAGCACGGAAAAGAGTGACTCCTTAGGCCTCCTGTGGGGTAGCTTTCTGAAAGGAAGTGAAGAATCAGGCAGTGGCATGCTTGTGTGTGAATTTTTAATGAGAGCAAAACAGAGGTACAGTCCTGGACTGTCTGAGAAGGGCATGTGGCTATAGTTGCTGGGAAGGCATTTTTGGTCTCTAAGATATCAATTTCCAAAGGTTATTTATGTATGTGCCACAGTGATGCCTGCCTTTCTTTAAAAATTAGTGGTGGACCTATCATCTCTCTTCCATAAATTCTTTCCTAAACCTAGAGCTATTTTCAACCTTTCCACTTCTCTGGATTGTAATTTTTATCAGTTTGCTCTCTGCTCAAGGTTAATTAGACCTAATCAATGCAAGTCCTATTTTTATACAGCAGGGAGCAAATTTGGTGAACAAGATTGTGTTCACTTTGTCTGTGTCCTTCATGAACTTAGGCTTATTTCTTGCTGATGATTTGGCAAATCCCTCTTTTGGTAAAGCTGTTGTATTTGGTAAAAACCTATGTCCCTTTCTGTGTTATGTCTTGGACCTACAAAGGAAACCTTTTTCTGGGGATCGGATGTATGTGACTTTTTTCTTTTAGCGAGTCTTTATTACATCCCAAAGGTGTTTAATTTGTTAAAAGAGAATTATTTGTATTAGTCCAATTTTAATAACATGTTACTAATACAGAATTTTAACCAGTGTTTACACAAAAAGAAAAAAATCTCCTAGCAGACTCATAGAGCTTCAGCCTATCTTCCATGGTGAAAAATTGTCAAGTCTCTATTAATGAGAATTGTCGTAATTCTGTGTGTGGTTGGGCTGAGGCTATAGTCTGTTAGAAAGGGCACCATGTCCTAAGAAATACCTGACTTCTGAAGTGACTGTGAATGTGTATGTGTTTACACTCGTCAACTTCCCATATTAGCTATTGGGGTGACACTGACCTCAAAAGAGTCAGGTTATATCTTCTTTTGCTATAGAGGAGGTCCCTCGGTGAAGTTGATTCCTCACAACTGTCCAGAGGTGTGTTTGGGAGTTAACTTGGGCCCCTTTATGTGCCTGGCACCTAAATTGGGAGAGTGGTCTCTCCTTCTGTGAGGAGCTAGAACAGGTAGGCACTTAGGAGGTATGATATAAGGAACAAAAATCTATCCTCCAAGCATTTCTCAGGTTTCCTGACATTTGTTCATTATGAAGATGCATTCCTTGGGTCTAGAAGGCTTGTCAGAGATTCAGTCTCCCATTAGAGTTTAGCTATGTCTAAAAGGTATCATACCTTAATATCAGCTAATATATTAGCAGGGACTAATTAGTTGATCAGATTGCTTTTCAACTGTGCCAAATATCTGAGAACAGGTCTTTGCAGAATGGGGCCCAGGTGGGATATGGGAAGGAAATGAGAGAAATTGGTAATGGAAGGGGAAATGAAGACAAGCTTCACCCAACTTGAGAAAAAATGCCTGTAGGAACCCCGACTAGTAATCAATGGGAGAAGAGTTTTAAGTTCTCAGCTTTCACAAGATAGAGGAGGGAGTGGCTTTCTCTAGAAAGTAGAGTTTTTGGCATCCCATATGGAAAACTGAGACTCTTCCCCAATTATCTCTATCCCCCTATGGGGGAGATAGAGGAAGGAGAAAGGTGGACGGCTTTAGAACAGGAATACTGTCACATCTGGAGGAGCCAAACATGAACTGCTGAGACTGTGAAAGTGGCTAACTTTGCATTCTTCTTCTTTTCCTTGTGGGAATCATTGATTTTTTGGAGAACGCATGGCATTCTGGCAGAGCTGATGAGGCAGCCAGGTGGTGTAGTGAATAGCATGCTGGACCTAGAGGCAGGAAGACTAATGTTCAGAAACTGCTAGCCAGGTGACCCTGGGCAAGTCATTTTACCTCCCTCTGCTTCAGTTTCTTTATATGTAAAAAGGGGATAGGGCAGCTAGGTGGCACAATAGATAGAGCTCTGACCTTTTAGTCAGGAGGACCTGAGTTCAAATGTGGCCTCAGACACTTGAAACTTAGTAGCTGTGTGACCCTGGGCAAGTCACTTAATCCCGATTGCCTCACCAAAAAAAATAAAAAATAAAAAATAAAAAGGGGATAATAAAAAAACCTGTCTCCCTGGGTTATCATGAGGATCTAGTGAGATAGCATATTTAAAGTTCTTTGCAAACCTTTAAGTGCTATATAAATGCTAACTATTCCAACTATCCTCCGTTCCTGATCCTTCATAAATCTGGAGGGGTCATTACTCTTTCCATCTGCCTGACCCCAACAGCAAATCAGCTGTCTAGTCTTATTTTTTTCTACCTCTGGCACTATTTCTCACATCTGTACCCTTCTCACCACATCCTCTATAACTGCCCTAGTTTAGACCCTTACCTTTTCTTGCTTTGACTGTTGTGATTGTGTATTAGCTGGTCTTCATGCTTTTAGCCTATCCCTTTGCCTGCCCATGCTTTACACCACTGCCCGAGTAATCATCCCATTGCTCTGCTCATTTTGCTCTTCTCTGAATAGACATCTTCACTGGCTCCCTAAACTATTAAATAAATGTAAATTCCTTAACCTGATATTCAAGCCTTCCATAATTTGGTTGTAACCTAACTTTCCAAACTTATCTCATACTATTCCACTTCACATGCTTTCTATTCCAACCAAGCTGCACTGTTCTCTCTCTGTCTCATGACGTTCTGCCTTCTTCAATTTCTGTGTCCTAACTCAGCCTGTCTCCCATTCCTGGAATGGATACATCTCCCCACAACCATCTCCGTATTGATGTCACTCTCCTCAAGGACTAACCTAGATGCCACTTCTTCCATGAAGATTTAATACAGTCACCCCAAACTGAAAGTGATTTTTCTCTCCTGAAATTTTTTTATATCACCTTGTCTACAATCTCTCCTTTGTACCCATCACACTCTACCTTATATTCTACTCATTCTTATAACGTCTCAACCACCTACTAGACTGTAAACCCTTAGTGGGCAGGCACTGTGTTGTCTTTACTTTTGTATCTGTGCTTAGTACAATGCCTTGCACATAGAAGTTGTTTAATAAATGTCTATTGAGTGGAAGAAGTGAGAATAGACAAATGATTGTGGTTATTGGTTTCTATATTGGCTGTATGGATGATGGAAACATTCTCTTCCTTTTTCAGAAGTGCTTTTAGTAAAAGTCTTCTTTTCTTTTCTATTTAGGACTCCACCACTGTTGTTGCTGCCTTGTTGATAGACTTCAAAAGTTCCCTGCTTCCTTATCTTCCAGTTGAATTCCATACATCGAGCAATTTTCTGATGATTGCCTTTTTCCCCAAATCCAAGATGTACCAAGCATTTTATGCAGAGGTAACACCAGTTTATTTCAAGATTTCTTTAAAGAAATCGAGCCAGTTTGGGGCAAAACATAAGTATAGTGTTCTGCACACAGTAGGTGCTTAATTAAATGGTTTTTTTTTTTTGGATTCTAAAACTACTGCTGGATTATTTCAAGCAATTTAAAAGTGAGTGGGAAAACAGGAATGATGATCTTTAGGGAAGATGGCAATGAAATTGGAACAGCTATTTGGGTGCTTCAGTGAAGCAGTAGCACCAAGGATGGTAAAAGGCCCTATGTTGACTATCAGTGACCTTTGTTGAGACCTCACTGAGGCAGCTGCCAAAATGAGGTACAGCTCCAGTCCTCAAAAACCTAGAGGCCAAACTTGGACCCCACTCTTGGGGTGTCTAAGCTGCTGACTGAGAAAAACACAGGGAATAAGATATTTGAGCACATTTGATAAGAAAATGCCCACCATTACATGGAAGAGGGTCTCTGGGATTAAGCCAACCTGCAAGGCTTAAGTTAAATTTTGGGGATGTGAGACTTTGGTGTCTAAAGGATTAAATAATTAAGGGGTTTTCAGTTTCTTTGAAGATTCTCACCCAATACCTGATTTTATTTCTTCTTCTTAAGGGCCACCCCTGGATTTTTTAGGCTCAAGGTTTGGACCCATGCCTAAGTGTATGGTTGCATTAATAGCTCTCTCATGATCTGGAGAAAATCATTCTTTGTGGTCCTGCCATGATGTTTGGCTCCTTAGTCTAGATGAGTGCCTGTGGCTTTAGCTAGTGGAATCCTTGACCCAGGTTTCTAGACTGTGCAAGTGTTTGCAGCCTCTAATTACCAGTTCCTTTCTTCCCTGCAGTATGAGAGGCACGATTCTGCACCTGACTCTCCTAATCTTTTGTGTGAGAAAAATCTTCTTCATTTTTGTAGATATCCCTAGCTCTTAGTGATTACTTATTTATTAACTCCCTTATTAATAGCCTGTAGTCAATTGGAATTCTTATTTGTGGTCTATTCTAGTTAGTTCATTCCAGTTTTAGAAAACAGATGTTATCTTTGTTGATGTTTGAGTATGGTACTTCCTGTCTGTTTGACTAGTTTCATGGCTAGTTGTCTCTTCTTCCTGGACAGTAAGGACCCCAAAGCTGCACCAGGGCTGCTAGAAAGAAGGTCTCTGAAAGATGCTCATGGCAAAAAAGTTTCATAATCTTCTCTCCTAGCTGTCTGTTTCCTAGTTTTCTCAGTGTAGTTTATTGTCTGTTAGTCCAGGCTTATCTTACTACTCCTGCCCTCCGTCCAATTAACTCCATGATAGGACCTTTCTGGCAACTCCTGGGAGAGTGACCTAGGTTGGTCTTTCTTTAGATGGGAACTCTTGGGGAAGTGGACCAGGCTTGGCAGGTGGAAATCTAAACATGGCTTCATCTGCCGTGTTTCTTAATGGTGAAAGCGAATTGGCCAAGATTTTTTGTCAAGTGTCAATTAAGGAAGGAGGGGGAAAAATCCAGTGTGGGTAAAGTTGCCCTTGGATGCCAATTTCCTTTGTCCAGTGATCTTGCCAACAATTAAGGCAGAGACTTCATTTCAAGGAGTCCCACCTCCAAGAACATTATAAAGATATACGAGACCTGGAAACAGTTCATTGGCCAGCCATGGGTACCCACAGAGGGAGTAAAGTTTTCCTTGTGTGAGATTCTTTTGGAAAGGAGGGGAAACAAAACTTGAGGAGAAAATTTGAAAGATCTGGAAGCTATTATAGGAAAAAGAAGGTCAATTTGCTTCCCCCTCAGGCATAATGTTTGAGATAGATAAGCTGTGACACCAGAAAGTGAGAGGAGGAGGATGCCATGCATATACAAGACCAGCTGGGAGATTTTCAGAAAGGAGAGAGAGATCTGAGCTGTTATACAAAAATCTAAAAAAACGAGATTTTAGCCTAAGGTAGATCAAACTGAGTTAACAAATCTGGCTCTATAATTTCTTTTTTTTCCCTTAGTTTAAAAGAGCCAGTAGTACCAGAAACACACTTTGACTCTAGGGAAATACAGCAGATAATCAGCTTTTTCTTTTTTTTTTTTAGCATCTACCCTGTTTTTGCAGGATTGAACCCCTCTGTCGGCCCAGCTCTGAGAGCCACTGACTGGCAGAGGTATCTTAGAAGCTTGGCTTTCTGTAATCAGTCAGAATAACAATATTTGTAAAGTGCGTTGCAAACCTCTATGTGTCATTTAAATGCTGGCTATTCTTGTTGTTGTTATTACAATTATTGTAACCTCCTAATTGATCTCCCTTCCTCAAGCCATTCCCCTCTCTCCTTCATCTTTCATGCTGCTGTCAAAGTGATTTTCCTAAGCCCAGGTCTGACCCTGTCAACCTCCCACTCAGTAAACACCCCTGGCTTCCTAATGCCTCTAAGATCAACTATGAACACCTGTGGTTGGCATGTTAAGCGTTTCATAAGCTGGCCCCAACTGTATCTGTCCAGGCTTCTTACTTGTTACTTACACACACACACACACACACACACACACACACACACACACACCCACTCCATCTTGGGTCTCCCTGCTTTTGCACTGTCTGTGCCCCTCATCACATACTGGGGATGTTCTCCTTTTTACCTTCACCTCTGGGAATTTGTGGTCTCCTTCAAGACTCAGCTCAAGTATTTCCTTCTGTAAGAATCCTACCAGAATCCTACCAGCACAGTGGGTAGAGTGCTGCAGGTGGAGTCAGGAAGACCTGAGTTCAAATGTGGCCTCAGACACTTAGTAGTTGTGAGATCCTGGGCAAGTCACTTTACTTCTGCCTGCTTCAGTTTCTTCATCTGTAATGTGGGAATAATAATAACATCTATCTCCTAGAGTTGTTGTGAAGATAAAATGGTATGATATTTGTAAAACACTTTGCAAACCTTAATGCTCCATGCAAATGCTAGCTATCATTATCATTTTTGTGATTATTTACTTTATATATGCTTCATGTATACACTTATATATGTACATCTTGTCTGCCTTATTAAAATATAAACTCCTTGAGGGCTGGGATCATTTCCCTCTTGTCTTTGTATTCTGAGAGCCTCCTGTAAACATGTAGTAGGCACTTAATAAATGTTTAATTAATTAATTGATGATGAAATGCTGTGTGAGCCCAGACTGAGTGAGGGCCTTTGCCCTTTCTCATTAAGGAGACGAGGCTGGAATCAGCCAAGGCTATTCAACCTTGTCATTTATTTCCCAATACTATCTACCTTCCTCTTTGCCCTGAGTGCCAGTACATTCCAACTGGTTTATTCCTGCAATTTTCCACTGCAGGATAGTGGAAAGACTGCAGAGAATGAAGTCTTGGTTCCACTGCTTGGGAGAGACATGGCCTTCTCCAAGTTACTTTGCCATTTTCTCCAATGCAGTTTCCTCATTTGTAAAATGAAGCTAACACTTGCCTGGCCCGCCTCACAGGTTCATTCTAAGGATTAGGTAAGATAATGTCTGTGAAGTATTTTGGAAGTTGTAAAGTACCGTGGATTATCAGCTGTTATTATTATTCCTGCTTTTGATAGCACAACCTTTTTGCTTTCCTATTCTTTTCCTGTTTTAGATTTTGTTTCTATGCTGGTCCTGAGATATTTGTGTGACCCCCTTACTCTTACATGTTGACCCCGAGTTAATCCCCTCTCCTTCAGCTCTTCGTTATTCTCCAATGCTTTTTTAAATGTTAATGCACTGCTCATTCTTAAGGCTCTCTTCTGTCTGCCAGGCCCAGGACATGGCCTCCCCCTTGACCACACAGTCTGTAGCCAGTGGCCATTATTTTTGCTCCCACATCTGCTGTGTCCCATTATTCTTGGTGCTTAGAGAACATCACCTAAGTAACTGATACACCTAGCCCTGGCTGACTTGAACTAAAAGTCTTTAGAAGAATTTCAGAAATGGAAGGGACTGTTGGAAATCATCTAATCCATCCCTCATATTAAACAGACAAGGACACTGGCCCAGAGTGGGAAGTGACTTGCAGTGGAGCATACAGGGAGCCAATGGCAGGGCTGGTGTTCAAGCCCAGTTTTCCCGAATACCATTTTGTTCTTAATTCCTTGTTTTCCCTACATCATTGAGTCCTGCTGTCTGGGAAAGAGCCATTCTTTCTAATGAAACTTCTGACTTTTATCTTTTCTTCTTTACTAAATGTTGATGGTTAGGGTGCAGGGGTACGTGGGACACTTCTGGGCACTGATCACACCAAGGCAAGATGCCTACTTACAAGACAGCATCTGCTCCCAAGAGCTGCCATGTCATAGGGTTCACCTTGCCCTTGCTGCATCAGAGTTTAAGAAGGAGCTATTGAATTAATTAATTAAATAAATATTATGTAGAAGGACCTGGAAACACATGGAGAATTTTGGAGTAATTATAGCTAATATTTATCTAGTGAGTGCTTTTAGGGTTACAAAGTGCTTCTCTCACAACAACCCTCTCAGTCCTTGTGAGGATATTGTTTATTTCCATGGGAAAGCTGTGGAAATTTAGAGAGAGACTGCTTCTCTCTTGACTTATGATTCTGCAAAAGTCTATAACCTCCCTAATCAAATTTCTGGGAGAGCCCAGAGCCCCCCTGCCAAAAGCCTGTGAAGGAAGGTTCCGAAGATGACCCTACACTGGTTTTTCCTTCTAACGTTTTTTGTGTTTTGCCTTTCTCCCCTTGCCTATTTATTTAGGCTATAGATCCAGGCAAGAGGCCCAGCAGTGAGTCCAACAGTGTGTTCAGAGTTCTCCTCCATTCTCCAGCCTCCCTGCAGGCTGCACTTGAACCACTTCAGACAGAGAGACACGAGTCTTCTTTGTTTATTACGTGCTCCAGGGAAAACATTGCCATGATGAAAAAACATGTGCTCTCTTGCTTTCTCTCTTGTGTTCTCTCTTTATCTCTTGTGCTCTCTCTCTCTCTCTCTCTCTCTCTCTCTC